AACTTTGACAAAACAAGTTAAAGATGCATATGCAAATCCAACTAACTAAGGAACTCTATCTCCTTTGATCTTTACAAATTAATTTCTTTCTGAGAATATAACTTAAGTAAACTTGATTTAAACAAAGACCAAAAGATAACTTAAAGAATTTTTATTGACTGAAACCAAATATTGTTGCTTTGCATAGAAAAGTAATGATGAACAACATACAACAAGCTGTCTTTAATAAAACAAAAGAAAGATTTAAGTAGTCAAACTCAAGCCTCCGGAGGGCGTCACACCTCGAGGAACTTCTTGATGTTATTTCCACAAACAATAATAAGTGACTCTCGTCAACTTATTTCTAAGTACTACTTTTACACTTGTCTACTACTAGTTTTTCTTCTTCTCTTTTTCTGAGTTTTTCTGAGTGATTTCTGAATGATTTCCTCTTCATTTGTTTGTAATTTATAGAAGAGGAGGATGATGTTGGTTGTGATGGTGATTGGTTAGCCAAAAGGTGCTTCAGATGAGGTTAGCCAAAAGGTGCTTCAGATGACTCTTGTTGGGAAAAGTTCCGACCTATTCATGGGAGGACATGATTTTCTGGTGAAAAGGTAGTAATTGCCATCTCCTGGGAACTCGATTCACGCTCGCGAGTTTAAGAGTCGCGCTTGCGATCTTTGTTTATGATCTCTCTACCTCTTCTGGAGTGCTTTTCGCGCTCACGCATTTAATGTTGCGCTCGCGAATTATGCTTGGTACTCTTCTACCGTTTTGGTTGTGTTCTTCACGCTCGCGAATTATGATGTCGCGCCCGCAAATTTTGCTTGAAGCCTTCTAGAACTTCTGCTATACAAATCGCGCCCGTGCATTTTTGGTCGCGCTCGCAAATTTTCATTTCTTCCCATGTTGCACGACTTCATTCGCATCGTGAATTTGCTTGGCAGGACTTCTCTTTTCCATACTTAGTCAAATTTTGATCCTTCTTCTTGTCAAATTTTGATCCTTCTTCTTCATAACATCAAGCCTTTCCAATCCTTTACTCAAATGCATTCCTAAAACAACTTTAAACCAAAAACAATACGAGAAAACGTAAAATGTATAAAAATAAACACGCAATCATGCAAATCATGTGATTATAACTTAATAAATTTGCTCGCTTCGCGAGGCTATCAGATATGAGCTCCCTAAGGCTGTAATCCTCCCATTTTAGCTGCTGAACTTTATTGATGTTTCTTGGAGGCGACATTTCTGTGATTTCAGCTATTTTTTCTAGGTTAACTTTGATTCCTCTCTAGATATCATAAAGCCCAGGAATTTACTTGTAGTTACACTAAAGACACATTTGTTTGGGTTAAATTTCATATTATATTTTGATAATATCTGGAATGTCTGCTTTAAGTCTCTGGCATGCTCCTCAGCTCATCTACTTTTCACTATCATATTGTCCACGTATACCTCCATTATTTTGTCAATTTTATCTTTGAACATTATGTTCACTAATCGTTGGTATGTGGCTCCGACATTTTTGAGTCCAAAAGGCATGACCTCGTAGCAATTTATTCCTCGATCAGTGATGAAGGTCATCTTTTCCTCTCCCAATTGGTTCATTTTTATTTGGTGATAACTTGATGTGATGTCCATGAAGCTGTATTTCTCAGACCTTGTTATGGAGTCCACCAGTTGGTTTATATTTGGCAAAGGATAGGATCCTTAGGACAAACTTTATTTAGATCTGTGAATCCACACAGAGGCGCCATTTGCCGTTTAATTTTGGAACAAGGACTACATTGACCAACCACTGGGAATAATGTACTTCTCTTGTGAAACTTGCATTGATAAGCTTATCTACCTCTATGGCGATCACTTTTTGACATATGAGTGTCCGATTCTTTCTCTTTTATTTGACGGGCTTATGCTCAGGTCAATGTTGAGCTTGTGGTTGACTATGTCTAGGTCAATTCCTTTAATGTCTGATGTTGTCCAAGCGAAGCTTTGCTTATTCTTCTTCAGCACATCTTAAATGGAAGAGAGTATGGTGGCTTTTAAGGTCAGTGTCTGCTTTTAGAGTTTTGGGATTTAGCTATGATGATGTACCATAGTTCCCGCTCAAGCTCAGGATTTAGCTCAATTCTGTCCAAGGGATATCGAATGGCTCTATAATTGTTTGCTCAAGTAATTCTCACTCTTGTTCTTCCAGCTTGGGATCTTGTGCCATTTGGAGGGGCAGTATGAGTTGTGCCCCTTTAAGTGCTACTACATATGCCTCCTTGGCGACTTTTTGATTTCCCCTAACTATTATAATATCACCTGAGTTAGAGTAAAATTTCATTACTAAATACCTGATTGATGTGTAGGTGCCTAAGGTGTAGAACAGCGGCCGCCCAAGTATTGCATAATCAGGAAAAGGGATGTCCATAACCACGAACTTAGGCATTTCTGTTCTGGTGTGCTCTCTATCTTTGAGTTCTAGTGCTATTTCTAAGCTACCTTCCATGGATACTTGTCTCCCCGCTAGCCCCTCCAAAGGGGTTCACATGGATTTGATCTTAGTAATGTCGAGTTTGAGGGCCTTGAAGACTTCTAAGGTTATCAAGTTTACCGAGCTACCATCATCTATGAGCATTCTTCGGACATTATAGTTCTCCATCATGCCTTCAACTACTAGGGCATCAAAATATGGGAAATGAACATGCTTGTTATCCTATTCAGAGATAGTGATGGTCTTGTGTAGAGGCTCTGCTACTCTTTTAGTATGCACTGAGTAAATTTCCTAGGCATGCCTCTTTGTCGCCAAGCTACTATCTCCTCCTATAGCACCACCACAAATCATATTAATGGTACCAAGGGGTTTGGCTCTTATCGATTGTTTGCCTGCTTTCTTAGATGACTCTGTTACTGGCTTGGTAGGGCTCTCCTAGTTCCCGTCTTTTCTAATGAATCTTTTTAGCACTCCTCTTTGGATCAGGCACTGAATCTCCTTCAATTGCCCACAATGTGCAGTACTGTGGCCTACATACTTGTGGAACTCACAATACTTGCTTTTGTCTCTTTGGGCTACAGATTCCTCTCAATTTTCTCAGGTAATTAAACTGAATTTCTTCTTAGTTGTCTTTCAGCCAACGTAGAATATTTGTCTGGCTCTTGGCCCAAGGTGTGAAGTCTCCTTCCTTTATGACCGAGCTGCTGTTGTTAGAATAAGGTGATCAGATGGAATAGTTCAGTCTTGTTCTATCCGGTCTACTCACTCTCACAAGAGAGTATCTTCTGGTCTTATGCATCTTCCTATGGGATTCACTCTCCTTATTCTACGCTTGTTGTGCTTTCCATGCTTCGTCTAGCCGGGCAAAGTTATTGGCTCGGGCCATTAATTCTACAAAAGAGTGAGGCCTATCAATGTACAGTGAATCAAAAAGTTTATTATAGTTACAATTTTTGGCCATTGCATTGATGACCATTTCGGTGTTGAGGTCTTCTATTTGCAAGATGAGCTTTTGAAATTTGGTGATGTCGAAGAGACTCGTCATCTGCCCTCTTAAAGTCTATCAGGTTTGATGATATCTTTTTGCTCAGGATACATGTAATGAACCGAGCTTTGAATGACACTGCGAGCTAAGCAAAGCTGCAATGGACTCGGTCTTGAGAATTTGGAACCATTCTTGCGTAGGCCCTTTCCGGGTGATGGGGAAAGATTGGAATAGCAGTACGTCCACTATTGTTTGAATATGCATTACCGTTCGAAGATTTGCCGGGTGGCTCCGAGGATTGATGGTACCATCATAGGTCTCGAATGTTGGCATCTTGAACTTGTGTGGAGAATTCACCGACATAATCTTCGGTCTCAAGGGCAAGTCATTTCTCAACTCAAAGTCAGTATTGCTCCCTGCTTCACAGAAATCCTTTAGGACTTGCAAGGTTTTGGCTCGGAATTCCTCTTCATCGTTGTGACACATGTTTCCAAGCAACGTAGTGGATTGCACGTGCATGTGGATTCTATTCTGAGTGTCCGTGTGCTAAGAGGAGTCCCCGTCTTCCATTCCATCGCCCATGGTCCTATTGGTTGTGTCTCCTTTTTCTGTCATGATGTTAACTCAGCGTTCGCCTCCAGGGGTATCTAGGACACAGGATTCATGGGTTTCGCCATTATCCTTTTCAAGACAGTTGCAAAATTATTATAGGCTTGAGTTAGCAACACCGTCGCCTGTAGATCTAGAACAGATGCGTCAGGGGGCATGGGTATTAATTTCTCCATAGAGCTCCAGACCCTGTTAGCTTCCCCAAGTCCTGTAGCAGGTGTTTTTTCCATAGCATTGTTGAGGGCGTAATAGCTATTTTGCAATGGGGGAGGGGCGAGCTACTAGACTGCAAATCTGACAATTTAACATTCACGCTCACCACATCAATTTGATAATCTCAGGATGTAATATTCTCAGAAATATTGGATAACGGAATTATATTGGGATTAAGAATGATCATTAAACTTTTCTCTGGAGAAGGCCTTGATCTGATATACAGGGTATTAAATAAAGTTGATTATACGAGTGATTAGGGGAGCGATATTAGGAGCATTATTTCCTAATATCAAACCTAAATCTTTTATTTGCTATTCAGTCTTTTAGCTGTGCTCTATTTCTCCAGTATACAACAAAATAGGTGTCTATCATTGCTGGTGAACAATAAGTTGAGGAATTGAGAATTTGTTCTATATTCCATTTCACGTAATGAATATGGCCTTAGCTTAAAGTGTATAGGATTTGCTATATTTCAAAACTTACAAAAAACAAATTACAGATGCCACCAAGAGTTGGCATCAGTTTTATGTTTGACTTTCTATATTAATAGGATGACTTTTATGAGGAAGGAAACGCAAGAGAAAAGGATGAGACAGGTGACCAAGAAAAGAAAATAATAAAAATTTTTGCTTAAACTATCATTAAAAATCATTATTATTCTCATTTTTTACATAAATTTTGAAATTGCAACTCAGCTGTTACAAAGTTAAAATAAGATATATACAATCATAAAAATGCAAAATTCTAAATAAACTATATTAAATTAAATTTACATGTCATATATTATTATTTTATACAACAATGACTAATTATTTCATCGTTCATATCACATTATTTATTATATCTTGAATCAAACGGTCCAACGAAAAAGATGAAGATCCACCATCGGATAAGGCTTTCCGACTGTTTTCACTCATTTCTTTAACTTTCATTCTCACTTCATTGTCATGTTCCATTAAACACTTAATTCCTTTCTCTATGTCCTTAGCACTTACAATTATCTCACTATCTTTCTTATAATCCATTTTTATTTCTACCGCTAATCCCAGCTCAATCACCATTGCAAAAGCATTAAATTGTTGCTCTGCGTACATTGGCCACGTGGCGATTGGAACACCAAACCATAGGCTCTCTAGAATAGAATTCCATCCACAGTGTGAGACAAAGCCTCCAATCGCTGGGTGGCCCAAAATAGCAGTCTGTGGAGCCCACCCAATTATTTTGCCAATTCCATCCGTGCGATCTAAGAATCCTGTTGGTAGAACTTGTGCAAGATCTTCATAATCACTTGGAGGTCCCATTTTACCCTTGGGTGGAAGCTGTCGTAGGGACCATAAGAATCGGTATCCTGTATGCTCTAATGCACAAGCAATTTCTTTCACTTGATCCTCAGGAAAGCCTCCACCGCTCCCAAAGCAAAGGAACACCACAGACTCTGGAGCTTGATCATCAAGCCATTTCATGATTTCCTTATCTCCGATGCTTCCGTCTGACACAACGTCGCCTTCAAGGCCCAAAATGGGCCCCACCGGATACACCGGAGGAGTTTTACTACTTTCACTGTGCCCAAAGTAGTTGAACGCGTGAGATTCTAGTTCCATGAATGAATTTACCATAATACCTTTAGATTCTCGAAACCTTCTTCCATGGGCAAGAAGAGGAACGAGCCGCTCCTTTTCAAAGAACGATGAAGGGAAAACCCTTCCGGGAACTGAGTTCACCGAAGTCGGCACGACCAACTCAGTGTTGGAATCCTTGAACTGGGTAAGGTCCACATGTTGCTCATCATGAATAAACTGCACATAAAGCCAAAATCCAAGAGAAGCAGCACTTGAAGTATAGAAAATATAAGACGGGACACCAAACTCGTTGGCCACATCTATCACCGGCGCACAGAACATATCGAGAACAAATCCTGCGAGAGAGGAATCGGAGTTCGCCGTAAGTTTAGAAACGGCTTCTTTGATATGGGGTTTATATTTTTCAATAAAAGTGAGAGGTGAATCGTTAGAGTCATCATTAGGTCGTAGGTGGATGAATCTGATACGATCAGATGTAGGAAGAGAATCGATATATTTAGCGATCTTAAGATCAGAAGAAAGTTTGATGACAAAGACAGTGATGGAAATTCGTTCATGGCGGCCAAGGAGAAGGTTGGCTGCCTTTAATGTCGATGCAAGATGACCGACGCCTGGAGAAGGCACAAACACCAGTTCTACTTTCTTCATTAGACTATAGAGTTTGTTTTATCAGTTTTGTATTAATAATAGTATATTATATATATATATATTATACTGTTGTTTTCAAGAGGAAATGATAAGTGGATATTTATTCGGATAACTGTGTAAAAAACAGAAGAATGAATTAAGGACAAAAAATAAAAGAGACGAAAAGAATGACTTCATGGCTTTGCTGGCAGCGGAGTTCTGGCCTTAGTCAAGAACACGAAGCCAGAAGGATTGTGTGGTGGTGGTCTGGGATTTAGGAAGGGATAAGATTTGCCTCCATCTGCTGGCCCATTTATACACTAAAAGACAATAAATGGAGTTCTTCTTATTGCATTAGGCTCATTAGGCCAACGTCAACAATATATGACATTAATAATATGTTTTTCAATTTCAACCAGAAATTGATTAAATTATTAAATTTGAGGTCACGGTTAGATTATTTAAACTTGCGATGAAATTGGGATAACATGAAAATTTTGTAAAAGATAGTTGTCTTATAAAATTTTTTATAAGTGACTTTTTTGTAATATTTTCAATTATTTTTTATAAGTGACTTGCAAAATAATAAATCTAAATTCCAATATTCTGTAAAAATTTCTAGTATTTTGTAAAAAGAAGCTATATTTTATAAACTCAAGCTAAAAGCAAGGAAATTTTCTAGAAGGCATTCCAGCAAGCAGCCATGAAAAACAGGAAATGCAAATCAAGAAAAGGGCATTCTGAAAAGTCCAAAACTTCGAAATAATCTGAAAAAGAAGCAAAAAAGTCCAAGGAAATTACCAAGGTTCAGGGTATCATATAAATACTCCAAGCTACAATGCTGCATTTAACATATAAAAGGTTAGCCTTAAAATTAAATATCAAAGCATGAACTGAAATTGTGCATCATCCTCTTGTTACAAAATATAATCACTAACATTACAATTTCATGCCTTTATACTGTGTTAAAACACTAAAAACCCAACTTCCCTTAAAGAGTAAAGTAAAATATTACAGTAAGTTTTGCCCCAAATCCAAGCTCTCTTCGGTGAGCACAGCAATTTTTTCATCCTATTGTAGAGCTTCACAAAAGAAATACAAGTAATGCATGTTCTAGTCGGACCTATTATAAGTAAAGCATGCAAATTTCTATTTCTTTCCTTTTGCATCTTTTTCATCATTCTTATAATATGATTCTTCGTCATCATAATATTCTTCATCATCATCATAATCATCATCATCATAATAATATTCTTCCTCTTCATCATCATCATCACCCTTGCCATTTTGTCGCAGCTGCCTCAACTGCTGCCCTCTTAATTGCTCTTGAATTCGATCCCTAATGGCTGTGCCCTGAAAGATATTTAATAAATAGATAATAATTCTGGAAAATATTTTATTCAAAAAGTTAAGCCTTTTAAAATATGTTCCTGAATATGATGGAAGCATACCATTTTATGGCAGCCTTCTTCAAACATTTCCAGAAATCCAGCAACCCAACGATCAGCGTTCTCCACCCATTCATTTCGATGCATAGCAACAGTATGAATCTAGAACATTAGATATAATAAACATATCAAATCCTACAATATAGGACAAGTAAAAATCACAAAATGTTATGAGCATGGAAATTCAGATAGCAACAAGCACCATCCAGGCATATCATCGATTTAATAATGGTTAACAGTATCTGGTAGGAAATCAGCAAATTGTAATAGAAAACTCATAGAAAGGAATTTATCCACTGAAAACAAAAGTAAATAACACAAATATAATATTTTAGTCAACTTCAAAGTTGTCTATGTTTGTTAATAATCAACACAAAAGTCAAGTTATGTTGTTCACAGTGGATAAGACGACTAATCAATTGACACTCTAGTATTATTATGCCATGCTTTATACATATGGTCACTATATATCAGCATGTTCTGGTTCTAATTTCAATGTGTTGGACTTGAATCCTCCAATTAAAGTACAGAACCTTTAAACACAGGTTTATGTAAAGTTGGACTCTCTAATCTCAACATCTGCCTTTTGAGGTATGGTTATTCTAATGTCGTTACGAATGCAATTATGGCAGTTAGAGATGCAACTACGCCAATTTTCTTAATTTAGAAGTTTTATCATTAAGAAGTTCTAATTAGTAGTTTCTTAATTTAGTACTTTCCTATTTTAATAAAAGTCTCAAATATATATTCCTATTTTGAAGGTTAAGGCAAAATGATGTAATTTCAATCTAAGAAGCAATTTTTAATAAAACAATTTAGCACAATTATTTTCAACTAAATTGAGATCACAATTATTTTCAACTAAATTGAGATCTAGACTCTCTAACAACCCTAAGGTTAGAGGCTTAGAGCATACTTTGAATGAGCTTAAGGTTAGATCTAGACTACTCCCAATTGCGACCGAGTGATTTGGGAAATTACACCAGCACTGTAGTTTTCACTCAAGGCTAGGTGGAGACAACATTATTACAGTGTTCATCTATGGATAGTAATAGCCCTAATATAAAATTAACCTATTATGGGCATCAGGACTACCATGGTGGGTTGTTATGATTCTAGTTCCACAGTATGGGACTTGGATCATACACCAACTCTATGGGTTTCAATGTGGGATTTATATGAACTTCGGCTCCAACCCCATCAACTAGCTCTTGAGGCATGCTTCTCCCAAGGTTATACCAGATAGGTTTTCGAAATAAATAAGGTCTCATTCACTTGTTAAATTGAGTGGACATATGCCTACTAATAGCATTAGCAATAATTGAACTACTACATGTCCAACACAACCGTTGCCACAAATAATGTGGACTAAGCAAATGAAAGGTTATTTGGATTGGTTTGGTTAAAAACTCACATCATGCATGTAACAAAAATAAAAAATAAAACTTACGTAGTATGTTCCATTGCAGATATAATAATAACAATAATCACCAATAACCACACCTTTAATAAACTCCCATGAGAAGAAGACGCTGCTCCAAATACAGTACACAATTCCCCTTAAACAATCTCGTCTCTTCATCTCTTCATCCTCATGTATCATAAATTAGAACCCTTTGGTTAATTTTGCTTTTAATTTTTGATTTTTCTCATCTCCTCTCTTCCTTAGTCCTCTGTTTCTTTTCCCCTTCCCCTTCCCCTCCTCCTCTATCTCTCTCACCATCTTTCCCTCCCCTGCTCTACTCATCCTTTCTCTTGTCATACATATTTCTTTCCCTTCCATTAAGTCTATAAACAAGTAGAGCTCTACTGAGCATGCGTTTGGCCCATTAAACATATACCATAAAAATTCTGGTGTCTCAACTTTCTATTTCTTTATTATGCTCATTTATATTTCCGCACTTTTACTTTTCTGAAATTTGGTTGGTGGTTCTTATATTCTTTTTTATTTCTTTGAATCCTTAAATTCTGCAAATTCTTTATTCTATTTTACACAACTTTGTGGTTTCTTCAGCTAGCAACTTCAAATTTATCTATTTTGCACTGTATGCTCTATTTCTCTTTCCAATTTAAGTTCTGTGTAGACAATAGCAAAACCCCACCAACACATGCTGCCATCCAAGTTCTTATTCTGTTGCACTGAATTGACTTAATTTCCTAATACTACAGCATTTTCCCATTAAGTTATTTGTTTACTTGAAAATTCTAGTTGAATGATATTTAGTCTATTTACTTTACATCAGAACAACTCATCTTCTGACCATGTCTTTCTCTTCTGCTACTCTGTCACTCTATTCATTTCTAGCTACTGCAGATTTTAAGTTCAAATTTTAATTACTTCTCAAATTTGAAAGAAGAATATTGTTAAATTCAAATTTTAGTTCTTGCTGAAATTTGAAAAAAGAATATTTGTATTTTTAAATTGATAGGCCCAGCCGAAAGCCTCTCAAAGTTTACTCAAGGAGACACAAGGAGGAGACATAATTAGATAGAGACAGCTGTCCCAGTTAGTTACAACTGACTTGGCACTAATCGATAAAAGGGAGTTGTGTTTTTGGTATGAGCATCTTTTGGAAAATTATGATAATTGAGCAGAATTTTCTGTTGGGACCTTTGTGTTTCCTGGCTTGATTCCTTTTGGATCAAGTTTTTCTTTTATCTTCTGTTATTTCTTTTCTTGAGAGATTTCCTGTAATTAGCTCAGTCCATTAACAGTTCTTTCTGTTCTGCATTGGAATATTATCATCAATCAAACACTTCAGTTCAAGTTCTCCTTCTCTAACCTCTGGTTGGATCGAATTATCTATTGCTTGTTGCTTGGGTGTTTGTTTTCTCAGTTCCTTACTCTATCATAAAATGTAATAGTCTGTCACAGCTTTTAAGAAAAGCTAGAGGATTTATCATTTAATATCGTTCTACTTTCAACCTTTATGTTTTGTTATTGAAAGAACATAAAACATCTTGTGATTATTTTTTACCGCACTGTTGCTCTGATAATTTTTACAGCTTGAAATTGGAAAGGATTTATTACTGCATTCTGAAAATTTTAAAGTTTCAATTCACCCCCCTTGTGAGCCACGCATACGAGGACCAACACTATTAATCTAAATTAAAATTAATTTTTTATTTTTCTTTTTTCCCCCTCACATTTATCACTTCATTTTTTTCCTCTCTCTCTCTCTCTCCCCTCTTCTCCCATCCTACCCTAGCCTTTCTCTCTCTCCATGGCTTCCCTTTTCCTACTTCAATATCTCTTCCAAAACAAAAAGAATAATGTGAGAGAGAAAGTAGGAAGTGAAAATTGAAAGCATAGCAAGAAAAGAAGCAAGGAGAAGAAGGAAAAAGTAAAATTGAAAGAAGAATTAGAAGAACAGGAAGGAAATTGAAACTTGGAGGAAGAAGAAGAGAGAAAGTGAAGATTGAAGTTGGTGTGGGAAAAAGAGCCATGGGTGGAGAAAAAGAAAAAAATGTGCAGGCAAGGAGAGAAAATTTTTGGTGCTTAAGAAGAGAGAGAAAACAAATGTAATATATTTTTTACTTAGACTTATAAAATGATATTATTTTTAAATTAGGGTAAAATTGCCAAAAAATTTGTATACCATTGCAAGAAATGTACAAAATTTAGAAAAAAAATGCTTATTAAGCCATTCATTGACCTAGTTCTATCTTTCCTTTTCCTTCTTTCTATTTGTATTCTAAGGGAACCTAGAATAATGTCTTTCCTTCAGCCATAAGAAGACAATATATGCACTTTATATGGAATACAACTCCTAGTGATTCGTAAAAGTAATAATTGCATAAATTATCCTGCACGGAGTACTAACTACTTATTAATTGTATTATGAAAGATTGATGTTTCTTACAAAATTTCAAGCAAATTTTATTGCTTTGGTGCCTTAACTCTTAAAATTCAAAAATCAAATCCTCTCCTAGAAAACAAGAAAAAGAAGAAGAAATGATAATAAATGACTAGATAATCCTTGTGTATACAGAACACAGAAAGAAAAAGTGCAAGCATACAACATAGGCTTCAAACTCATATAGTCTACAAGCAAAGAATCACCCGTCACAGGAAATTAGTATTTCTTTTTTTTTTTTTTTCTTTAAATGCAATAATGCACATTCTTCAAAAATTAAATGAAAAGAGTAAAAAAAAGATAATAATGAGACTTGCCGCTAAATTGACATACAGCTAACACTATTGCATTGTAGATTTTAAAGAAATGTTGCTAAATGACCACCTTAAAACAAATGCGGATGATAATGGGATTGCAAATAGAAGCATAGGACAATAAAAAAATGGTGACATGTTTCCTTCATGTGTGGCAACGCACTAGCCAAGATAGAGCAAACTTGGACATAACACTTTCAACAACCAAAAATGCATATTCTATATTAAAATGACTGCTTTAATATTTTGGTGGGCTTACATTAATCAAGATAGAAGACATTTCAACTACATTAAAGAAAAATAAGACTTGATTTATGTAGAAGCAAAACAACGTGTAACAGAAGGGGAACCACAAGACACACACTAAATTTCTTGTTGTCTTTAACCATTTGCCCCTTTTGATTTCAGTGATCAATAGTTTCCCCCTTAATTGAAAAGGTAGGCTTTGCCCTTGGATTTATGGGAACAAGCAACAAAGATGGCAGGAGAGGGGTCTACAACAGTAATTTGGTTCCATAGGTACAAAACGAAGCTAAGAAACACCTAAAAAATGCATGGCATAAGCTCGATAGGGTATGAAATAAAATCAGTTTTTCTAAGGCCACATGATAAAGATAGGATTACATCAGTGGTACCCAGAGAAAACAACATATATCCAGAAGAATCAAACATAGCCATACTCATTATAGCTTAAAAAAGAAAAAAAAAGGAAGAAAAAAAAAAAAAGAAACAATTATGGGTTTAGACAAGACCTACCTTTTCTCCAACTTTTTCTTGTTGTTCCTTTACTTTCTCTTGTATTTTTTTTAACCGCATATTCACTCTCAGGCGCTTTTCCTGTTTAACATGACCCAAACCAAACATATATAAGTTTCATTATCAGCAAGAAACAAATCAAGTCAAAGTAACAGCAGACCTTTGTCTAGAATCCAATGATAACTAAATAAGACCCAAAAGGAAAGCAGGGAAAAAAACAAAATTAGGTAAAAACCATGCCTTCACAAAGCTAACGCCAAGCTCTTTTCTCGTGTATCCTCGATCCAAGTTGCGCATCACATACTGGTTATAGTCTTTAACGATTCTCATGATAATGTCTGATGTAGAAATTCCATCAGTTCTTTTTGTTTCCTTAAATCTTCCAACTTTTTTCACCTGCATTACAAGTTAATTGACAAAGCTATGTCCAGAATAATAAAAAATAACCAGTAGATAAAGTTCATCGAACTTACAAATTCATAAACATCTTTTCCAGCTCCACTAGCATCAGCATAGCTATGTAACATATTCAATTGCCAAGTTATAAGGGATTAGATGAAACTAAATAGGTTTAGGAAACTAGCTAGGTCACTTAAGGCCTGAGCCAGCATCACATATGGCATTATATATAGTGAAATATAGAATCAACTTTGAAAAATGAATTAGCAATACTTCATCAATTAACATATACAGTAGGAATAGAACAATACTCAATTTGACCTTTGAACTTGTTTGCAATGTACGATTTACTCAAAGATCAGTTTTTGGATCAATTTTAACAAGAATTTTTAACAGAAGACCAATTTTGCTTTTTTTGGCAGGTCAATGAGTATGTGATATAGAAAAGAAGAAAAGCTAGTGACCTAGTTTTCTCTCACCTCAAATGAGTTACTCATTTTCACTTAATAACCTGATCAACGATCTTGTCCTAGTAAAAACAAAAAGGTCCAAACTGATCTTTTGGTTTATATTAAAATCGAATCACAAGCTCAAATTTTGGTATATTATATATCGGAATCAAGTTCAAGAGGCAAACTGAGCATTATTTCTAATATAGTATTGACCAACGGCTACTAAGATAACCATTTTGAATAAGAAACCTTACGGGAGTGAATCATGAGCTACATAATCAATATTGTGCTTGTCAAGAAATTCTTGTGTGATCACCCAAGGAGCATCAGTAATGACTTCATCAACCCACCTAAAAACTCAATAATAAAACTCAATCAAATCAAAATTGTCAATTTGGGGCTTCACGTCTCTCATCTAATAAAAACAAAGTATCAACAGATCTAAGACAGAGTTGCCATTCAAACATGAGAAAACCCGTTTTTAATGCTTGCATTCAAACCAGTGTTGCTAAAGAAATGTTTCTAATTCGACGCACCATGTCCTTATCCAAAAACAGTACCTTAAAATAAAATTTTCACTATAAAAGACTGCAATTCAGGTACACCATTATATCTATTTGACATCTATAATCATTAAGCAACTCATTATTATTGGGTTGAATAGTTGAGATGAAACATACTTGCAATGATGAAGAGATTCATATCGCTCAGATTCTGTCATAACAGTTTTTCCCTTGTACTTGTGGGTGATTTCATCGTTGCAACATCCAACCAGCAAATAAGTGTTTGGGAACCTGATTTAAGAATTTGAAATTAAATAAAAGAAAGAAGTTGCAAAAAAAATTAAATATTGTGTGAAATGAAATTTAAAAGGAAAAAATAAAAAAGGAACTCAAATCTTGCATAACGTCAACGACATAATATTACATATGCATACAATAACAAACTGGAAATCGAAAGTAAAAGAACATGAAAAGATAATAACAAATCAACAGTCAAATAAAAAATGTATTAGACTAGAAATGAATTTGATTACCGCTAATTCTGCATAAAGGAATAAGAAAATAACTTATATGCAGAAAGACAAGAGAAGGATGAAATCAATATTTCAAGCGAACTAAGAAAACTGAGATTATATTTAGACATGAAATTCCTTAACACAGAGCTTTCAATTCAAATTCCTTGAAAAAGCAAAAAACACCATAAATGCATAAAGCGACATATATACAATATATAGAGAGGAAACAAACGATTTTTTGGCTTGTTCGAGGGAGCGAGCGTGGCCGAAGTGGAAGAGATCGTAGATCCCGTCAGCATAGACACGAACAGGCCGATCAGAAGGACTCATGGGATCTGAATTAGAAGAATCATTGGTCGAGTTCAAATGACCTTCACAGGAGATCACATTTCCATTCATTCTCTATTCCTCGCTCATCCGACTTGGAATTCACAATTTCTCTGTTCTTCTTTGCATGTCAATTATCATACCACCATTATTTATTTGTCTCGAGTTTCGGCCTTTTACCCCTATTTTTTTAATGACCCAATGCATAAAAATTACCCTCAAATTTTGCAATTTATTGTAATCGCACCCTATTTTTAATATCTTCACAAACACAATCTATGCAATATAAAATTAATTGCACCATATATCCAAACTAGGCAATATAATTCTATATTTATTCGAAATTTAAACTACATAAAAATAAAAATATTTATATTTATAAATTATAAAAATTTTAAATTTAGATAAAATAGTTTTTCTATTATGACATATTTGATTTCTACCAAAAAAAATAAATGGCATATTTGGTTTGATTTTAAATTTTAAAACTAATATAATATATATCTAAAATTTTAAATTTTAAATTTTAAATTTACATTTTTTCACATGCCATAATTGAATGAATTTAAAACTGATAAAAATAAAAGGCAGATCATTATTGAAAAATAAATTATGGGAGATAAAAAGATAAATGCTCAAAAATTTCTCAAATAAGATAGAGACAAATGTTAAAATATTAGAGAGTTTCTCTTTCAAAAAAGTATCATGTCAGCACATAGAAACAATTAATGATTCTCATATTTTTATATATACTAATTTTTTTTATGACGTGTGTTGTATATTGACAATGTTCGTTATATTATCGTGTTTTATACTCTTTTAATTTTTTATTTATATAATATTAAAGCATAAGTTTTTATTTAGATTAAAATAAATACTATTGATTAATTTGTATAAAACTTTCTCGCATAAGCTACTTGAAATGTTATTTCTTATGTACTTGATTTTATTTTTATATAATGAAGTGGTTTCAAAATAAAGTTCAATCCAATTATTATACCTAATCCTTCGGTTCCTGATTTATAAATACATATTCTTAAAACCCTGATAGGTGCTCAAAAAGAAAATTAAGTTATCGCTCAATCTCCAACTCTTGCCCTCAATCACAAATCAATATCTATATACAGCTATAATGAAAAATAATAATAAATTTTTTTTATTGGTAGATAAAAGAAAAGAAATGAGAAGATGATCTAAATTGACAATGGTAATTATTTTGACTATAGTGATAGTATTATTTACCCAGTGCATTGGAGAAAGGAATATATGAACATATACACAAACTCTTGAAATCCAAAATAGAAATATAGTTCTAGTTTTTTTCAATTTCATAAACACAATTTTCTTTCAAGCCAAACATATTTAGGATATAAAAAAAATATCAAGAAAATTAAAAATACTTAATTAGGAGGCCATCTATTTATTGCAAGAGAGATATAAATCTCTTACTAAATTAAAGTGACAGTGGCTACAAATTAATTCAATAATGAAAAAGAAAATAAAAAATAACAAATTTTTATTAAGAATAAAACTCTTTTAAGAACTCAACATATAAGAGGATATAAATCTCTACTAATTAAAGTGACAGTGGCTACAAATTAATTCAATAATTGAAAAAAGAAAATAAAAAAATACAAATTTTTTATTAAGAATAAACTCTTTTAAGACTCACATATAACAAGAAATAATTATATAAAAATTAACCAATTTAAATTTCAAAAAATAAGTTTGAAAATGCTATAATTTAATTAAATTTTGATTTTGAATGGACAAAAAAAAAAAAAAAAGCAAGTTCAATAATGAAAATTACAAAAACAAATCATGCTAGGATCGCAATATTGGTCAGTTAAACAAGTTAGAATTCAAGTATTTTGTTTCTCTATTGTTCTATAGTTGCAAAATTTAAAATAAATAAATAGTTAATTAAGTAATAAACAAAAGATTCTAAAAGAAACGTTATATCATTTTCAAATAAACCCATAATTTTTCCTACAACCCATAAAAAAAAGATGAGTATATTTTTTCTTTTTTTAATTATATATATTTATTTTTTTAAAAAATAATTTTTAGAAATTATATCTAATCAAATAATAAATGTAATTTTTTTTCGCTTAATCCAGCGGTATCCGACTTGGCTCATCAAAGTGGTGAAAACACCTGTAATTGAAAGGACTCGACTTCGAAGAGCCTTTCACTCTTCAACGTAAGTGAGAAGGACCACAGACCACTCATCTGATTTGCAGAATATTCTAAATTTTTATTGAAGGCCGATATCGAAAATCTCATTATTCCCCACGTGCCCATATATTATATATAGTGCACATAATGATGCTTAGGTTTAGAAGGTTAATAATAAAAAAAAACTAATTTTCCACGAGCGCACAACTTCTTAACACGCACAATAATTCAAAAGAGGGTTTGATATCTGTTCGACTAGCCCGTAATTGGTTGGAGATAGGTAATAGTAACAAGGGAAGCCAAGAATCACGATTGAAATTTTGAATAACAAAATTGCTGAGTTTTTTAATTTTGAATAAGGGAAGAATTGTAAGTGTTTTAGGAAGAGAGTAATCGAGATAAATCCCTTCATAAGAAACAACCAAATGCTGGCCGATTTAAAGGATAAGAAGAAGTCGGTCTTCTTGAAATACAAAGGTTCATTAAGTTATGTTCCAAGGTTAGGCACAATGAGTGTTTTGAAGACTTGCATATAAATAAATCAATCAAATCATCACCATATTATCACTTTTGAAGGATGCACGTAAGCAGTTTGGTAAATGCAGATAGAGTACAGTACCAGCGCGATAGAGGAGTGTTGATCCTTAGCCTTGGATCTCTCCATTTCAGTTGTGATTGTTTTCGGTATATTACCTATTTGTTGTAATTATGGAAGTTGGTTGTACAATTCAATCATGTATCTATTGTTAAGGAAGTTAGGTTGTGCTCTCCTGCTGTGTTCAAATGCTCCACAATGGAGATATGTTTTCTTTCCTTCGCTTTGTTACTTTACATATTTTATGGTACTGCAAAGCTGCTAAATATGTAACTAGTAAACCTATTTCTTAAACTTTTTCTCAGCATGGCCAGCAGTTCATAACCTCGCGAACACATCTGATAGACCACTCACGACGGTCAACAAGGGTGGTCATCAGGAAAATAAGAAGTATTTTAGTATTAATTATGTTGCTATATTTATTTTGCTGCAATTATTTTTCTTTTTTGTTAAAATGTTGTTTTACTTAGTCATGATACTGTCACAAAATATGGCTAAGATATCTCATTAGTGCCGATTGTGGCCATTAGAATAGGAATAAACAGTTGATTCTTTCCTATTTAAATTCATTGTAGCTGCAGCAGAAAATAGAATGAAAAATATCCAAAAATCTTCCTTAGTTCATTTAATTCTATTTCCTTTGGCTTTGACTTGGGACCTATCATCGGTATTAAAGCCTGTTTATTCTTTTTTTTCCTCTTGTTATGGCAACAAACAAAGAGCGGAATTGAGTTTGGAAAGTTGGCCTTGGCCAAGCTCCAAGCACAATCTGTCAAGACTGGAACGAGGACTTAGTGATGAACTGCAGCAAATCAAAAAGGCAGCCATCACTAAATTCTCTGAACTTACACTTCCTAGCAGAGAAGAATATGGCAAGTGCCAAGGTGACCGATCTAAGCAAAATCGCACCAAAACCAAGAGAATCCAGAGATAGTAGGGAAAGCCGTTGTTTTCCGCGAG